CTGCTGGGGATGGAGTCTGCAAACCAGGCATGCACCCTACCTGGGAATCGAACCCATGGCCTCTTGGTTCATGGGTCAACACTCAACCACTGAGCCAAACCAGCAAGGCAGTGGCATTTTCTTGAAGCGACTACAAACTTTGGCAATAGTATGTCTCCTTTAAGTAATGGCAGCTCGTAAGTTTCATCTAAGTGCATTTCAGCTGGTAAGCTTAAATGCACTATGGTTCATGAAGGAATACAAGAAACAAACAAAAAAAAAAAAATGGGGAGCCAGAGAACAGGGAAACCAATAAGCTATCTTAGGTTTCCTGTAGCCTCTACTATTCATTTAATTAGCAACTATTGTTTACCCATGCAACATATCCTAAAAGTTTTTCTCTCTATATAGCTATACTAATAAAAGGGTAATATGCTAATTAGACTGGGACACCTTCCAGGAAACCTTCTGGATGTCCTTCCAGACAAACCCATAGTAGTGCGGCTGAGACAGAGGCAGTTAGGGTGATCGGGCAGGGAGGGGAGTGAAGTTGGGGGCAATCAGGCCAGGAGGGGAATGCAGTTGGGGGTGAGCAGGCCGGCAGGGGGGTGAGCAGTTGTGGGATCGGGCCTAAACTGGCAGTCAGACAGACATCCTCCAAGGGGTCCCAGATTGGAGAGGGTGCAGGCCAGGCTGAGGGACACACTCCCTGTGCATGAATTTTGTACACCGGGCCATATATGTGTGTGTGTGTGTGTGTGTGTGTGTGTGTGTGTGTGTACGTGTACACACTGAGTGGCCAGATTATTATGACCACCTGATGTTTGTTGGCAAATTAGCCATACACTGCATTGTATGGGATATGGAAACCGAAGCCTGTTTGAACACCTTTGCTATCTGCAGTTACCAAGATAAAACATCTGCAATTCGCACAGGAACACAAGAATTGGACAGTCGAGCATTGGAAAAAAGTCATGTGGTATGATGAATCACGTATTCAGTTGCATCATACAAATGGCAGAGAGTTTGGTAAAAACAGTATGAAAGCATGCACCCCACATGCATGAGTACAACCCTTCAAACTGATGGGGGCAGTGTTATGGTTTGGGGCATGTTTTCCTGGCATGATTTGAGCCCTTTAATTCGTGTGGAACAACATCTGAATAGTATAACATACCCAAGTATCATTGCTGATCAAGTTCACCCTATCATGTTGATGGCGTATCCCGGTGGAGATGGCTTCTTCCAATGCGCCATGCCACGGTGCTCGTTTTGTGCAGGTGCTCGTATTCAACAACACGAGGGAGACTACCTTCCTTATGGGGCCAGATCTCAATCCAATTGAGCATTTGTGGGACAAAGTTAAAAGCCATCAAGTAGCTGGTTCCACAACCATCAAATCTCACACAACTGGACAGTGCTATTCACCAGGCATGGTGTCAGTTTCCTTGCATCACCTTCAACATCTTGTGGAGTCCATGCCAAGGAGAATCACCACAGTACTGAAGGCAAAAGGTGGCCCAACGAAGTACTGATGGGGTGGTCATAGTAATCTGGCCACTCAGTTTATGTGCGTGTATGTATATATATGAGATTTTAACCCTTAAAACCTCCATGGCTAAAGAAAAAACTAAGACGTAATCATGTAATCAGCATTCTTTAGCTTGGACATTTAAAAAAAATATTTTATTGATTTTTGTACAGAGAGGAAGGGAGAGAGATAGTTAGAAATATCAATGAGAGTGAGTCATCGATCAGCTGCCTCTTGCACACCCCCTACTGGGGATATGCCCGCAACCAAGGTACATGCCCTTGACCGGAATCGAACCTGGGGCCCTTCAGTCCCCAAGCCGATGCTCTATCCATTGAGCCAAACCGGTCCCGGCTAGCTTGGACATTTTTATAACCTCTAGAAACATTTTCTTTTAAAATATATTTTATTGATTTTTTTTACAGAGAGAAAGAGAGAAGGACAGAGAGTTAGAAACATCGATGAGAGAGAATCATCGATCAGCTGCCTCCTGCACACCCTCCTACCGGTAATGTGCTCGCAACCAAGGTACATGCCCCTGACCAGAATCGAACCTGGGACCTCTCAGTCCGCAGGCTGACGCTCTATCTACTGAGCCAAACTGTATTCAGCACCATTTTCTTTTTTAAAATATGTTTTTATTGATTTCAAGGAAGAAGGAAGAGGAAGAGAGAGATAGAAACATCAATGATGAGAGAGAATCATTGATCGGCTGCTTCCTGCACGCCCCTGCTGGGAATCGAGCCTGCAACCCCGGGCATGTGACCCCAACTGGAATTGAACCTGGGACCCTTCAATCCACAGGTTGACACTCTGTCCACTGGGCCAAACAGGCCAGGGCTAGAAACATTTTCATAGACACAAATGCCAATTATTTAACATGGACTTATTTTTTAAAAATATATTTTTATTGATTTCAAAGAGAGGGAAAGAGAGAGGAAGATAGAAACATCAGTGAGAATCATTATCGGCTGCCTCCTGCACGCCCCCAATTTGGGATCAAGCCCCCCACCTAGGCATGCCCCTACTGGGGAGGTACTATTACCTCCTGGTTCATAGGTCAACTCTCAACCACTGAGTCATACCAACTGGGCTCTAATAGTTTTTATTCCCACTCATTCTGCCTAACTTTATAGCCATTTATTTCTTCTTTCTAATTGTGTGTGCAAAGATTAATTTAGAAATATCAAAGGTTCCTCATCTGGGCCATCTTAGTTATAAATGGGAGGCTGACTATAGTGGGCTTGTTGTCTGTGGAGGACCAATTTCCCATGTTAATTTGAAATCTGTAGAGTCTGAACAAACTTTGAGGGAAAACCAGTGTTTACCTGCATGTCTCTGTAACAGCCAAATGTGGATGTACATATAGGACTTTTTTCCCCTCAGGCACAGTTGTAAACATTTTTAATGACTGCCTTATATGAGTCTATTACAGTTAATTTAACCAATATCCTGTTGTTAAAATTTAAGATGTTTTCAAATTAAAAAAAATTATAAATAGTGATGCAGTCATTCTTGTCACTAAATCTTTGGAACATCATTACTAAATTATTTTTGACCTTTAGATGGAAGCTGGATGTAGATTGATTCAAGAGTGATCTCTGGATAGCTGAAACCAGTTTGGCTCAGTGGTAGAGCGTCAGTCTGCAGACTGAAAGGTCCCAGGTTCGATTCCGGTCAGGGGCATGTACATTGGTTGCGGGCACATCTCTGGTAGGGGGTGTGCAAGAGGTGGCTGGTCGATATTTCTCTCTCATTGACGTTTCTAGCTCTCTATCTCTCTCCCTTCCTCTCTGTAAAAAATCAATAAAGATATATTAAAAAAAAAAAAAGAATGATCTCTGGATAGATGTGGAGTAAGAGTATGAATACTTTAAATTCTGATAATGAGAGATCCGTAGTCTTTGGATTTGTACATGGGAAACTTGATACTCTATTTTGAAAACAAATTTAGTTTAATTTTTTTCCCCATCACCATTTATCCCCTCTATGCTGTCTTCTACCTCCACCCAACACCCTACACCCCTTGATATTTTATTTTGAACACTGAAAACAAGTCTTAAATTTTTCCTTGGTAAGTCATAGCTGTATCTGTGGGCGGACCTCCAATTTTCGTCAAAGAATAGATTTATATTTATGTAGTATCTGAGCAATTACGTGATTAAGATTCTCAAGTTCTATATTTAGAACATGGCCAAGACCAGTTCAGCCTGAATAGTTTGAAGAGTATATGTTAGCCAGTGGCCAGGAGCTCAGTTGGTTATAGTGTTGTCACAATACGCCAAGGTAGTGGGGTGGATCTCTTGTTAGGGCACATACAAAAAGCATGAATGAATGTATAAGTAAATGGGACAACAAATTGATGTTTCTCATCTCAAATCAATAATAAAAAAAAGTATGTGTTAACAATGTGTTAGTTTCAATATAATCCAGCATATATTTTTTTCCTGGGTTACCTGCTTTTGAGAGCATTCTCTTTTTGAGGATGTATTAAAATGAATTAAGTTTGAGATGAGCCTCAAAATAACTATGAATTGATTTGCTAAATGGCTAGTGTAGTTTTACATCTGAATATTAATTAATAAAAATAAAGGTTCTTGAATTTTGTTTTTGGGAAGTTATTAGAGTTCTATCAATGTAAATAATATTTGAAGGGAAAGGAATTTAGAACCCATTTTGCCTTAGAAGATTAAATTTCAGTCTTTAAAGTATAATGAGACTATTAAAAATACTTACATATTAGAAGTTCATTTTGATTCTTGTAATGGAATTGTATAATATGCTTTGTTGAATCATTAATACCTTGGAATCTTTGTTAATTGTGCACAGTTGAGACTATGATTAAAATTTGTCTAAGAAAAGGTTAGATTGTTGCAAAAAGGCTTACATATTTTTGACTGGCTAAAGATTAAGAAAAAATTGAGTATAGAAAAAATTGACAGTAGTTAGTTGTACCCAAAATCTACTTGTCATTCATATACAGTATTAGAGTGAGAGACTTAATTATATTGAAAAGGAAGCTGAAAGATAGATTTTTCTGGAGCTTTAAATGTTTTTTCTTTTCTTTGCCTTTAATAACTGGATGGATTTGGAAACTTAAGAAAACAAAAAAATGAAAATAAAAATCACTTCTTAACTTTCAGAGATAATCACTAATAAAGATAGTTGTGTATATTCTTCCATATTTTTTTCTGTACATGGATTTTTTTGCATTTCATCAAGGTTGTCCAATTTGTTGGCATATAGTTGTTCATAGTATTTACTTACAATCCTTTGTATTTCTGTGATGTCACTTGTTACTTTGTGGGTTCTCTGTTTGTTTCTTGATGAGTCTGGCTAATGGTTTATCAATCTTTTATCTTTTCAAAGAACCAACTCTTGGTTTCATTGACCTTTTGGATTGTTTCTTTTAGATTTTGCTTAATTTATTTCTGCTCTGATATTTATTATTTCCTTCTTTCTACTTAAACTCTGGGCTTTGTTTGTTGTTCTTTTTCAGGTTCCTATAAGTGAAAAGTTAGACTGTTCATTTGAGCTTTTTCTTGTTTATTGAGATAGGCCTGGAATGCTATGAATTTCCGTTTTAGGACTGCTTTCCCTGTGTTCCACAGATTTTGGGTGGTTTCTCATTTTCATTTTTTTAAAAATCTTAAATGCATGCGTGTTTATTCCAATACTGCCAGCAGTATGGGAGAGCAGCAGGTCATCCACAAAAATCTGCTCTGCAGCCCTAGCCTGTTTGGCTGAGTGGATACAGTGCCGGCCTGCAGACTGATAGTTCCCAGGTTCAATTCTGGTCAAGGGCACATGCCCAGATTGCAGGAGGCAGCCAATCAATGGTTCTTTCTCATCATTGATGTTTCTATCCTTTTTTCCCTTTCCCTTCCTCTCTGAAATCAATAAAAATGTGTTTAAAAAAAATCTGCTCTGTAATTCTCCATAAATCAGATGCTTATGTAGGGTAGGACAAGGATAACATGGAGAAGTAGGGATCACAGGCATGGGGAAGTAGAATGGGGTGGGACTCCATTGTTTGGGCAACAGGATGGTTAATATTTTCATAATAAAAGCATAATAGGCTAATTAGACTGGATGTCTTTCCAGACATCCTTCCAGATGATCTTCTGGATGAAGCCGCGGCTGCAAGGAAAATCTGGGTCCTGGGTGCCAGAGGGAAGCTGGTGCCAGAGCTGGGGAAGGAAGGCCTATTTTTGCACGAATTTTGTGCATTGGGCCTCTAGTCTTTTCATAGTAGGCAGTTCTTGAATGAGAATGGTTCCAAGATTGACTCCTAGGTCCAAGATTGATTCCCAAGTCTTGGGGGCTTACAAGTCTCAGCCAGGTCAGAATGCCCTTTCTTTAACCAACATAAGGCAATCATGGTTAACAGAGCATGATTAATATTTCTTATAATCATAGCTTGTCCCCAATATTCTGTTTTTGCCCCTAACATTTCCACACTGCTATTTCTATCAACTTGTATCTATAAAATTATTTGCATCTGCTTCTGCCTTGAAAGCAGTTCCCAGAGTTGGAATTCACCAAGTGCAGGATCTTAGATATGTTTTCTATCAACTGAGAATTGTCAGAAATATTAAAACAGCACATTCCTTTAAATTCCTCACAATTGTGGTTATGCTGCAGCAGCAAATAATCTGTTGCTGCCTGATTTTCTAGAATAGCCTCTGACCTGGCTCAGCTCTTGACTTATCCCATGTATGGTCCTGGATGTGGCATGAAGGGCTTTTACCACCTACAAGCCAGCCGCTCACTTCTACATTAAGGGAGCCTAGCAATGCCAGCTTAACAAAGCAATATAGTCAGCAGGGCTCCACAGGTGGAGATACTCATTGCAGTCCGGTGCCATGGCCTTGAGAAAGTCTCTTTTAGTTCAGACCCTGTGATGTTTCTGAGGCATAAAGACAGTCAGTCATCCTAAGGAACAGGGCCCCTGGTGCTGTTAGCAGGGATAAATAGTTTATGTGACATAAACCAACCAGCCAGCAGCTTAGTATGTCTGTTACTATAAGGGAAGGTGACATTATCAGAACAATTAATATTGTAGTTATTAGACACTGAAAGACAATAACTAGAATACTCAGTAAGAGTAAGACATTTGCCACGGGGAACTACTGCTGTAACCTTTAGAGCAAGCAAGTCAAACTCAGAGGCTAACATGGGCCAAATAAGCAAGGTTTGAGTTTATGTGGGCCACAAAAGAAACAAAAGCTTCAATTTTCATAGAAACGAAGGTTTATTTTGATAGAGACATGCTGGATACAGAGGGTTGAAATAGGTGAGTAGTCGTTAACATAAAATAATAGAACATTTTAATAAAAATTAATATATTATCTTGAACATTAACTTACCAGACACTGAATAACTGCACAAATTAATAAGTATAATATGAATCTATTTTTCTTGTTCTCCGAAAACAAAATGTTTCCTCTTGCGCATACTAAACAGGTCAGTACAAGACTAATGATGTGGCAGTCAGCTACTAAAATATTGACTGCTAGTATTAGTGAAAAGAATTGGTGTGCCTGCATGTAAGGTGCATAAGGGAAATGAATGCAACATGATTATCGTAATCTGTCATTATCGAATGTTGTAGTTCATTATTAATAAGTAGGAACCTGGCTGAAACCTATTTGGCTCAGTGGTAGAGTGTCAGTCTGCGGACTGAAAGGTCCCAGGTTCAATTCCGGTCAAGGGCATGTGCATTGGTTGCGGGCACATCCCCGGTAGGGGGTGTGCAAGAGGTGGCTGGTTGATGTTTCTCTCTCATCGACGTTTCTGACTCTCTATCTCTCTCCCTTCCTCCTCTCTGTAAAATATCAATAAAATATATATAAAAAAAATAAGTAGAAACCTGGTGCATAGAAATTCCTCACAATCATGGCCTGTAGGGATCTGGCCGAAACTGGCTCTCTGACATCCCCTGAGGGATCCCAGATTGTGAGAAGGTGCAGGCCAGGCCAAGGGACCCCACTGGTGCACAATTAGGCCAGGGAGGTGCCACAGGAGGGCTCCAGGGCATGTCCGGCCTGTCTTGCCTAGTCCTGATTGGCCAGACCCCAACAGCAAGCTAACCTACCGGTTTGTGAGCGTCATAGCGACTTATTGAATGGTTGAACGAACTGTTGGACACTTAGCCTATGAAGCTTTTATTATATAGGATTATGTATAACAGGATATTGTGAAAATTAAGTTACGTAGTTTTTATGAAAACATTTCTTACATATGTTTTTACATATGGCTTTACAGCAGTGGTCGTTACCCACAGGTTGGGAACTGCTAGCAGGGTCGCCTAAGACCATCGGAAAACACAGATATTTACATTAGCATTCATTAACAGTAGGAAAATTACAGTATGAAGTAGCAACAAAAATAATTTTATGATTGGGGGTCACAACATGAGGAACTCTATTAAAGGGTCGAGGTATTAGAAAGGTTGAGAACCACTGATTTAGAGCCAAGAGATCCTTGCTCTCTGTCAGAGGGACCATGAGGCCTGGTCACAGAAGGAGGTGGCGATGCTCTCTAGAGGTGGTGTTCCTTGAGTGAGTGTAGGGCCTGTAACTTTGGCTGGCAAGTGTCCATGATCTCTTGGCTGCAACAGTGTCAGAAGTTAGCCGTGTCCTAGCTGATAATTTCACAAGGCCCAGTCTTCAAAACTCATGTTTGGTTTCACTCCAGGTCATGGATGTACTTCAACTTATGTCTCATTTCTCGCTGGATGTGTGAACTGAGGACGGTGGTCATTTTCATGTTTTTAAAGTTATCTTTGATTTCTTCCTGGATTTCATTGTTAACACATTCATTGTTTAGTAACATGTTGTTTAGCCTCCACGTGTTTAATGTTTTTCAGTGCTTTTATTGCTGATTTCTAGTTTTATGCCATTGTGATCCAAGAAGATGCTTGATATGAGTTCAGTCTTCTTGAACTTGTGGCGACTTATTTTGTGTCCTAACATGTAGTCTGTCTTTGAGAATGTATTGTATGCACTTGGGAAGAATGCATATTGTGTAGCTTTGTGGTAAATGTTCTATAAATGTTAATGAAATCCATCTGATCTGGTATGCCATGTAAGGTAGCTGTTTCCTTGTTGAATTTTTTTTTTGTCTGGAAGATGTATCTAATGATGTCAGTGGAGTGGTCAAGTCCCCTACTATGACTGTATTGCTTGTCCATCTCTCCCCTAAAAATCTCCAGGAGCTTTTTTTAGAAAAAATATATTTAGGTGCTTCTACTATAATAGCTTTTAAATCTTTGGACATGACTAATCTTTGATTAGGGTCAAATTATGAATCATTCTGATATTTAGACGAGACAGCCCACAGTCAAATAGCATTCCAGTTAATTTTTAGGAGAAGAGAATGTGGCTTAGCCTCTAAAATAGAAAATATAATAAGACATTTGAGAAGTGGTTAAAAGGATACAAGTCACTGTTAAGGGTAACCATACTCAAATGGAAAGGACACAAGTCACTGTTAAGGGTAACCATACTCAAATGGACTATAGTGTAGTCACAAGATACATGATTTAGTTTATGTAAATTCCAATGATATATTTTATTTTATTTTTTAAAATTTTATTATTATTTTAAATTTAATAAATCTTTATTGCTCAGATTATTACAATTGTTTCTCCTTTCCCCCCCATAGCTCCCTTCCACCCGGTTCCCACCCCACCTTCTGCCCTTTACCCTCCCCCCCTGCATTGTCCTCATCCATAGGTATACGATTTTAGTCCAGTCTCTTCCTGCACCCCCACACCCTTTTCCCCCTGATAATTATAAATCCATTCCTCTTTTTTGCCTCTGATTCTATTATATTCACCAGTTTATTCTGTTTCTCAGATTTTTAATTCACTTGATTTTTAAATTCACTTGTTGATATATATGCATTTGTTGATCATAATTTATTTTTATTTATTTTTTATTTTTTTATTTTTTTTCATAATTTTTTTAAAATAAATTTTTATTGTTCATATTATTACAAATGTTCCTCCCCACCCCCCCATTGCTCTCCTCCACCAGGTTCACACCCCACCCTCTGCCCTTTCCCCACCCCCCATTGTCCTCATTCATAGGTGCACAGTTTATGTTCAGTCTCTTCCCAATTCTAGATTGAGGAAGTAGTTCATACAAAGTTCTTGAGATATGCTTGAAGATGGTTGTGTTTATGTGTGAGTGATGTGAAAGCCTAGATTGTTAAGAATTTTATTTATAAGTAACGGGTTTCATTATTATAGTTTTAAGTATTGTAGCCATTCTTGGATTGGTGTATTAGAGAACTATGAGGATAACCTTTGGAAGATTAGAAGGGGAAGAGACTATAGGTAAGAGAACATTTATGGAGCTATTATGATACTTCATTTATATTGAATGAGAGGCTTTTAAAAATAAAATTATATTTAACTGCATATAAATTAAGGACTAGTTTAAAACTCTTTACAACTAATAGCAAAATATTAATGCAGGATAATGGTTCTGTTAGCTAATCCAGCTTTTTTTTTTTTTTAATATATTTTATTGGTTTTGTACAGAGAGGAAGGGAGAGAGATAGAGAGTTAGAAACATCCATGAGAGAGAGTCATCTATCAGCTGCCTCTTGCACACCCCCTACTGGGGATATGCCCGCAACCAAGGTACATGCCCTTGACTAGAATTGAACTCGGGACCCTTCAGTCCCCAAGCCTACGCTTATCCATTGAGCCAAACTGGTCCTGGCTAATCCAGCTTTTATTTATATTTTAATTAAATTGATTATTTTCTCATTCTGGTTTCAGATAACAAAGATATTAGATGCAAAACCAGAAGATGCCCGTGTGAAACCACCACTGTCCAAACTCAGAAGCTCAGAACGGTGGGATCTCCCTTTGCAGGGGGTAAATAAAAACCTAGTTCTTCTAAGTATATAGTGTTATTGTTGTCTTTAAAACATTTTAGGGAAACTGAATTTTTTATTTTCTTATATGTCCTTTTGTATTTTTTTGTTATTTGTTTTTTTGTAGGTTTTAAATTAGTTTATTTCAGGTATATGTTGAACTGATGCTTTGAGGTTAAGGTCTTTCGTTTAAATATAAATACACCTTATTATGCATTATTTTTCTTCATCAGATGCAAATATCATTGTAAAAGAAATTATTTTAAATATATGAGAACATTAAGCTTATTAGAATTAGATGCTCTTTTATTCTCATTTTATAGATTTGAGAGGGTTTATCTTAAAGGGTAACACAGTTGTTTTTCCAAAAGATATTTGGATTATAAATTGGAACTTTAATTTTATCAGTATTAAGCATTATTGCAGATTCTCATAATGAGATATACCTTTTTATGTATTATTTTTCTCTTGCCTCACACAAATTATTTTCATTTTTAAAAAAGTCCTTTTGTTGGGAGAGCTGGAGAGTGGAACAAATTTTTTAAATATGTTTTTTAAAAATTGATTTTAGAGAGAGAGGAAGAGGGATAAATAGAAACATTGATGAAAGAAAGACATGGATTGGCTGCCTCCTGCACCCCCCACTTGATTTTTTCTTTCTTTCCAGTTTTATTAATAGAGACAATGTTGCAGTGAACATCATTTTTCATATATAGGGAACCATTTTTAAGTGGGATTACTGGATCTAAGGAATTTTTATATTAAACTTTAATAAATTGCAAAATCGTCACACAGACAATTTACACTAATTTATATTGCCACCAATGAGAGTTTCTATTTTCTACAAACTGACTAGCACGGGGTGTTAACATACAGTAAGATTGTTGTCAATTTAATAGGAAGATAAAAATTATTATTATCTTTTAAATTCCTACCCTAGGACATACTTAGAAAGGGGAAGAGAGAGAGAGAGAGAGAGAGAGAGAGAGAGAGAGAGAGAGAGAGAGAGAGAGAGAGAGAAAGAAAGAAACATCAATGTGAGAGAGAAACATTGATTGGTTGCCTCTGTACATGCCCTGACTGGGGATTGAACCTGCAACCCAGGTATATGTCCTGATTTGGAATTGAACTGCAACCCTTTGGTGTGAAGGACTACGCTAAACAAATTGAGCCACTTCAACTGGGCAAAAACTATTATTTTAAGAAAATTTTGTCTCTGCATTTATATATATATATATATTTTAATTATTATTTTTAATATATTTTATTGATTTTTCACAGAGAGGAAGGGAGAGAGATAGACAGCTAGAAACGTTAATGAGAGAGAAACATCGACCAGCTGCCTCTTGCACACCCACTACTGGGGATGTGCCCGCAACTAACGTACATGCCCTTGGCCGGAATTGAACCTGGGACCTTTCAGTCTGCAGACTGACGCTCTACTGCTGAGCCAAACCGGTTTCGGCTATATATTTTATTTTATGTTGTAGTATATTGAATTTATTGTGGAATACAAATTGGTGTGTATATATATTGTATTTTTGGAAAATAAAAGTTTTGTTGTTGCTGACGTGTACTATGCACTTTGTTCTCTTATTGCTTAGGCAATTTTCAAGGGTCTTTAGAAGCTCTATGCCAAGAGCTGGAGGCAGAGACCAAAATGTTTTTTTCTATTATTTTATAATCATCAAGTTTCGTCCATGTTGTAACATGTCAGAATTTCCTTTCCTTTCAATGGCAAATAATATTTCATTGTATGTGTAGACTACATTTTGATTATCAATTCATCCATTGATGGGACAGTTGATTTGCTTCCACCTTTTAGCTGTTGTGAACAATGCTGTTATGAATATGGCTGTACAAATATCTCTTCGGAGAAGAGAGTGTTTTAAATTTACTATATATATAATCATTTTGCATCATTTTGAGATAAGCTAATATTACATTTGTTTTCAAACAGGAGACTAATGCATAGAAATAAGATAAATAATTTGTCTAGATTCACACTGTATATTAAATAAATAATTTAAAAAATATATTTTATTGATTTTCCACAGAGAGGAAGGGAGAGGGATGGAAAACTAGAAACATCGATTAGAGAGAAACATCGACCAGCTGCCTCTTGCACACCCCCCACCGGGGATGTGCCCGCAACCAAGGTACATGCCCTTGACTGGAATCAAACCTAGGACCTTTCAGTCTACAGACCAATGCTCTATCCATTGAGCCAAACCGGTTTCAGCTTAAATAAATCATTTTCAACTTTTATTTATGGTCAGATTAAATCTAAACTCAGGCCAATTCAGAGTGGCTCTGTAGTTGAGCATCAGTCTTTGAACCTGGAGGTTGCAGTTCAATTCCATGCGTGGGTTGCAGGCTTGATCCCCAGTGTGGGTAATACAGGAGTCAGCCGATCATTGATTCTCATCATTGATGTTTCTGTCTCTTCCTCTCCCTTCATCTATGAAATCAATTAAAAAATTAAAATAAAGTAATTCTCTTAAAAAAAAACAACAAAACACCCTACTTCTGTCAATAAGATATAGATTCTTCCTTAAAAATTTCCATGCAGCAATTCATAGGAAAACAGTTTTAATCCCTTCCAAATGTTATAATCTCGGGTAATTCAGAATCATAGGCACTATTTAACTTCCCATGTAATAATTTTTATTATTTCCTTTAGACAAAGGCAGAAATTTTCATAGTTATACAATATAAGCTCTAGAATTTCAAAATGTTGATTTTCTAACTAAAGCTACCTTGAACTTGTTAACATTTATTTCTACTACTTTTTGGTGGATTTATATTTCTCTACTAGCAAAAGAGCCAATTGTTTTATAGATTGCATTTTCATCTCTTTGTGAATAGCTATGAATTTGACTGTTTATTTTGAACTTCTAAACAAAACAAACATTTAAGTGACTTTTTATTATCATACTAGAGACCCAGTGCATGAATTCATGCACTAGAGGAGGAGGGTCACTCAGCCCACCCTGCGCCCCCTTGCAGTCTGGGACCCCTCAATCCTTTAAAAAAAAATATATTTTATTGATTTTTTTACAGAGAGGAGGAGAAAGGGATAGAGAGCTAGAAACGTCGATGAGAGAGAAACATCCACCAGCTGCCTCCTGCACATCCCCCATTGGGGATGTGCCCGCAACCAATGTACATATCTTGATCGGAATCGAACCTGGGATCCTTCAGTCCACAGACCGATGCTCTACCAGTGAGCCAAACCGGTTTCAGTGCCCCTCAATCCTTACTGTCTGCCTGCAGGATAGGCTGGAGAGTCTCCTGCCACAGCCGTTGCACTTGCCAGCCATGAGCCCAGCTTCTGGCTGAGCAGTGCTCCCCCTGTGGGAGCACACTGACCACTAGGGGGCAGCTCCTGCATTGAGCGTCTGTGCCCTGGTGGTCAGTGTACATCATAGCAACTGGTTGTTCAGCTGTTGGGTCAATGTGCATTTTAGGGTTTTATTATATAGGATTGCTATGTTTATTACTAAACTCCATTTTTTTTTCCATAGTGGGAAAGAAGCCGAAGAAACAACGTCCTTTCTCTAGACTGTAAAAGTAAAAAAGGTGTTCGTGGGCGTCCTGTCACTTCTAAGACATCATCAGAAAGGTAAGATACATGTGTATGTGTCTAGGATGGGCTTATACTATGTGTAAATAGTGTGATAATGGGTGATGGATTTGTTCCCTTTGGATCTCAATTAAAACAAACTTTAAAATACAAGGATTAGATTCAGTGGCCTCCAAGCTTCCTTACAAGCTCTCTTTCTGTAATTATAAGTTACCTTAATTCCTTGTATTTGTGCATTTGGGACATCTTGATAAGCTTTAGCTGATAGTGCATGCGTTACATATAGACTTATTATAATGCTTGATTTATCATTTGTCATCTGTAGTGAAAAAGATGCTCCATTAATCAATTGGGGTTCTATAGTCATAGTATTAATGAAATGTGAATATACTGGACTTATATATGGAGGATTCTGATTGTGATTATTATCAGAAGAAAGTTAGAACATATGAGGGTTGGACATCAGTAAATGATTAGAAAGTTGTTGTTTGACAAAAGGGTATTGGGTTTTCTTTTTTAGAATAGCAAATGAATAAAAAATGATAACAGCAAGGTAAAATTTACAATTATTGGGAGATCACACAAATTATTATTATTTTAAATATATTTTATTGATTTTCTACAGAGAGGAAGAGAGAGGGACAGAGAGCTAGAAACATCGATGAGAGAGAATCATCAATCAGCTGCCTCTTGCACACCTCCTACTGGGGATGTGCCCGCAACCAAGGTACATGCCCTTGACCGGAATTGAACCCGGGACCTTTCAGTCCGCAGACCGATGCTCTATCCAGTGAGCCAAACCGGTTTTGGCAAGAGACCACACAAATTAGAAGGATAATTGGAATTCTTACATTTATGTCAGAGTACATGGTCTTATTCTCCCCTATCTTTAGGAAATATAAAAATACATTGGTGACTCCATAGAAGTTTATATACCTCCTAGGGTTACTCTACCATACAAGGGATAAATTGTCATGACAAATATGCAGTGATTATGCTTTGAGCCTCAGAATAACTATTAACTCAATTTATAGACTTAGTTTCTCCAAAGATTATTATGAACATGTCAAAAGTCATATTTAATTTGAGAGATGGAATACTAGAAGTAGAGGAATCATTTTTTTAATGAAATTAACCAACATTTTCTGAGAATTTGCACAAACCAGGTTGCTTTGCTTTATGGGAGAAATATTCTAAAAACTTTGCATACTTCAAAGTTTATATAATTCAAGTCTTATTTTTCTGTATGAATGCTTTTTAAGTGGTGGGAGCAGGTTCTTTGAGGATGTCAGTCTATTATTTCTTTAATATTGTCTTTTATTTTCTGGCAGTATATCTCATATTTTCTGTTCTTTCCCAAATTATCATCTCAGCTTAAAGTGGTAATTGTTTGGCTTTTATTATAGAATTTACCACATGTGATTTATATTTCAAAGTTACTGATTTTCAGGCTGTTATCTGTGTTAGTACTATCATGTCCAGTAATGACATTGTTAGAAGATAAAAAATTAAAAAAAAATTTTTTTTACATAAATTTTTATTGTTCATATTATTACAAATGTTCCTTTCCCCCTCCCCCCCCGCCCCCTCCATTGCTCTCTTCCACCAGGTTCCCATCCCACCCTCTGCCGTTTCCCACCCCGCATTGTCCTCATCCATAGGTGCACAGTTTATGTTTAGTCTCTTCTCACATCCCCCTCTCCCCTTTTCCCCAAGAATCGTCAGTTCACTCCCCTTCCATACCTCTGATTCTATTATATTCAACAGTTAATATTGTTCATCAGATTTTTTTTTAAATTTCCTTGGTTTTTAGATTCACTTGTTGATAGTTACATATTTGTTGTTCATAATTTTTCTCTTTATTTACTTTCTCTTCTGAAAGAACCCCCTTCAGCAATTCATACAATTCTGGTTTGGTGTTGATGAACTCCTTTAGCTTTTTTTTATTTGTGAAGCTCTATCTGGCCTTCGATTCTGAGTGATAGCTTTGCTGGGTATATTATCTTTGGCTGTAGGTTCTTACTATTCATCACCTTGAATATTTCTTGCCATTCCCATCTGGCCTGCATGGTTTCTGTTGAGAAATCAGCTGACAATCGTATAGGTGCTCCTTTATAGGTAACTACCTTCTTTGCTCTTGCTGCTTTTAATATTCTTTGCCTTTTGCTCTTGGAATTTTAATTATGATTTGTCTTGGTGTGGTCCTCTTTGGATTCCTTTTGTTTGGAGTTCTGTGTGCTTCCTGGACTTGTAAGTCTAATTCTTTCACCAGGTGGGGGAAGTTTTCTGTCACTATTTCTTTCAGTATGTTTTGGATATCTTGCTCTCTCTCATCTTCTGGGACCCCCATAATTCTGATGTTGGTTCGCTTGAAGTTGTCCCAGAGGTTTCTTACATTATCTTCAATTTTCTGGATTATCTTGCCTTCTAGCTTCTGTGGAGGAGTGTCTTCTGGCTCTTTATGTTCCAAATCTTTGACTTGATTCTTGCGATCTTCCATTCTGTTTTTAGGACTCTGTGTAATATTTTTTTATTTCAGACAATGTATTCTTTATTTCTTGTTGATCCCTTATCATTTCTTGTTGATTCCTTATTAATTCTAGTTGATCCCTTTTCATATCCTCATAGATCTTATCGACCTTTTCTAGGAAATTCTTGAAAAACCTTATAAGTGTGGTTTTGAACTCTATATCCAGTCGCTTTTTGTCCATTTCTTTCATTTGTGATCTATTTCGTTGTCTCGGCATTTTCGCAGCTTCCCTGATGGGGCGGGGTTTCAGGGTGGAGCCTACAGCCCTGGCTTCCGTCAGCCGCATCCTATGCGGTTCCTGAGTCTCAGTAATCCCCAGGGTCCTTCAGTACTCGCTGCAAGCACCTCTGAGAGAAAGGTGCCCTCGATTTTCGCCTGCTACCAAACAGTCTAGGCTCTCCCCAATGAGCCCGGTATTGGAGTTCAGTTCAGTTGGAAGTGGAGTTGGAGGTGGCGTTCAGAGCAGTCCGGAGCTTTTGTCTCCTTCCCGCCGGGGCAATCCTGCGGCATAGCCAACCGTCCCTTCTCTGCACGCAATGTGCGTGCCTCAGGGATCTCCTTTCGCCGCTCCCCCGGGGTTCCGCCTTACAGCCCAGCTCCCTATGGATGAGCCTGGGTCCCCGGGGTCTGGCCTAGAACTGGGGTTCAGAGCAGTCGGAACTGGGGCCCAGCACAGTCGGAGCTTTTATCTCCTTCCTGCTAGGGAACGCCAGCCAGGCACTCCGGCTCCGTCCTCTCCGCGCGCCGCATGTCTCCGTACCTTAGGCTTTTACAGCTCCTCCGGGCTTCCTTCTGGTTTTCTCCTTGCTTCTTGTTGTAGAATTTCCAGTCAGTCGACTTTCCTGTAGTTCTGGGTAATGTCCATTTTATATTTTAGTTGTATTTTATTGAAATTGTTGTGTGCGGCTGCGGCTAGGTGTTCACCTATGCAGCCATCTTGGATTCTCCCCTTTTTAAAAAAAATTTAATAGCAGTAGATATTGACCTAAAGGCACAGCAGAGACCATATCACCATGTTTTTAAAATAAAAAGAAGTGTTTTTAAAAAATTTATTAAAAAAAAATCTTTATTGTTGAAAGTATTACATATGTCCTCCTTTTCCCCACATTGACTCCCTCCATCCTGCCCCTGCTCCCCACTTCAGGCCTTCAGCACCCTATTGTCTGTGTCCATGGGGCATGCATATATGCATACAAGGTCTTTTGTTGATTACCTCCCACTTACACACCCTCCCCTACCTTCCCTCAGAGATTCTGCACTTTGTTCCATGCTTCCATGTCTCTGGATCCACCCTGTTCATCAGTTTATTTTGTTAATTACATTCCACATAAGTCTGAGATCATGTGATACTTGTCTTTCTCTGACTGGCTTATTTCACTTAGCATAGTACTCTGCAGGTCCCCCCATGCTGTCTCAATGGTTAAGAGATCCTTCTTTTTTAATTTTTTTATTATTACTATTTTAAAAATAAATCTTTATTGTTCAGGTGTTCCTTTTTTTCTCCCCATAGCTCCCCTTCACTTGATTCTCCACCCCACCCCATGCCCTTACCCCCCGCCACTGTCTTCATCATAGGTATAAGATTTTTGTTCAATCTCTTCCCGCACCTCTAACACCCCCTTCTCCCTGAGAATTGTCAGTCCATTTTCTTCCTATGTCCCTGATTCTGTTATATTCTTCAGTCCATTCTGTTCTTCAGATTTTTTATTCACTTGATTTTTAGATTTACTTGTTGATTGATACATATTTGTTGACCCTTTGTTGTTCATGCTTTTTATCTTTACCTTTTTCTTTTTCTTCCTCTTCTTAAATAATACCCTTCAGCATTTCATATAATCCTGGTTTGGTGGTTATGAACTCCTTTAGCTTTTTCTTGTCTGTGAAGCTCTTTATCTGACCTTCATGTCCTTTTTTAAATTGCTGCCAAACATTCAGAGAATTAGTTTGTAAGGTTTTTTTTTTTGGGATAATAATATGCTATTGTAAAGGATCAAAAATTATAATGACATTGTAAGATAATATCATGTAAGGATATTCTTTGCTCTGGGCCCTGGCAATTCAATTTCAAACTGACTGTTAATTTCTTTTTGTAACTTTATATAAACTTTGTCAGGGAGGCAAACACAAAAATTATTTACTTTAGTTCAAGAGGCCAAATATATTGACTTTCAAATACAATCTTTACGGCTTTTGAAGGAAACCTCTCTTTATTTCCTTCCATGATAATTTTCAGGCTACAGAGAGTTTTATTTAAAAATCTTTGTCAGCCTTTATGTAATTTCATCTCTTGTAAGTTTATTGAGGTTTATTTTAAGGCCTAGTGTATGAACTTTCTTGGAGAATATTTCATGTATTTGAGAAGAATGTATGTTCTGTTGTTTTGGTGGAGGTAAATGTCCATTAGGTTGAGTTGATAGATAGTATTATTCAAACATTCTGTATTCTTGCTGATTTTCTTTTAGTTGTTTTATGCATTATGAGACTGGGGTTTTGAAGCATTGAACTATCA